CCCTATTAACTCCAGTCACGCAGCAGCTCTTCTACTATGGCGTTATTATCCTGTCCAATGTCGAGAGCGCATTATTGTAGCGCGAAAGTACATTAATATTATGCGCGAGCGTGAATCTCTCTGCTCGCGCGCGGAATATGATGTGCCGAGCGTGAATCTCTCTGCTCGCGCGCGGAATATGATGTGCCGAGCGTGAATCTCTCTGCTCGCGCGCGGGAACTGGGCACGCGCTCTCAGATACACTTCTCTTGTAAGAATTCTCTCTCTGGGCTGAGTGGGCTCGCTGCCTCGCTCAGAGAATATGCCTGCACTTAAAACGTGTTCAGTGCAATCGCGAATCGCTCCTCTTCCCCGCAGCTAACAATTTTAGGTTATAAGAACGTTTTCATAACGTTCCCATTAAGTTATAAAAACGTTATTTCTGAATGTTCTAGGGAATTTCAAAAAGTCCAGTTTTTTAGACGTTGTATTAACGTTATTTCTTGGTTATAAGAAAGTTCAATTCTCCCGTTATGTAAACGTTGTATTAATGTTATTTCCTGGTTATAATAACGTTAGAACGTTCAATTCTCCCTTTATGTTATAAGAACGTTATTCAAACGTTCAATTCTCCCATTATATAAACCTTCTCTTAATGTTTTTCTAAGATAATGAAAAACGTTTCATTCAATAAAAAAAACATTAAGAAATGTTTTAATAATTATTAAAACCTTTCTTAATGTTTTTTATATAACAAGGTAGCCTATATAATAGGCCTAGCCTATATGAAGAACCTAAAATAAATAAAAAAAGACCCATGAATCATGTCTATAATATGTGTAATGTAGTCCACTGAAGTCGAGTTGAATTGAACCCAAGTAGGCCTATAGTTTATTCCAGTAAACCGATTTGGGTTGAAGTGACCATATGAAATTAACATGAACATAAACTTGGACTAAACATAGAATCACCAACAATGGTACAGGGAACAAAGCTAGACAAGAGACAATGGGAACACAAGGACAAGGATTATGACCAAAAACAACCAATGACATCCACAAGTTAAAGTTAATTTAATTTATATAGCTCATTTTTACAACAATTTCCAAGTTTATGTTCATGTTAATTTCATATGGTCACTTCAACCCAAATCGGTTTATTGGAATAAACTATAGGCCTACTTGGGTTCAATTCAACTCGACTTCAGTGGACTACATTACACATATTATAGACATGATTCATGGGTCTTTTTTATTTATTTTTGTCTTAATTTTAAAATCTGAAAGTTCTTGTTTTAGGTTCTATAGGCCTATTATATAGGCTACCTTGTTATGAATGAAACGTTTTTCATTATCTTAGAAAAACATTAAGAGAACGTTTATATAATGGGAGAATTGAACGTGTGAATAACTTCTTATAAGTTAACCAAGCAAGAACGTTAATACAACGTTTATATAAAGGGAGAATTGAACGTTCTAACGTTATTATCACCAGGAAATAACATTAATACAACGTTTACATAACGGGAGAATTGAACGGTCTTATAACCAAGAAATAACGTTAATACAACGTCTAAAAAACTGGACTTTTTGAAATTCCCTAGAACATTCAGAAATAACGTTTTTATAACTTAATGGGAACGTTATGAAAACGTTCTTATAACCTACAATTGTTAGCTGGGGAAGAGGAGCAATTCGCGATTGCACTGAACACGTTTTTAAGTGCAGGCATATTCTCTGAGCGAGGCAGCGAGCCCACTCAGCCCAGAGAGAGAATTCTTACAAGAGAAGTGTATCTGAGAGCACGTGCCCAGTTCCCGCGCGCGAGCAGAGAGATTCGCGCTGGGCATATCATATTCCGCGCGCGAGCAGAGAGATTCACGCTCGGCACATCATATTCCGCGCGCGAGCAGAGAGATTCACGCTCGGCACATCATATTCCGCGCGCGAGCAGAGAGATTCACGCTCGGCACATCATATTCCGCGCGCGAGCAGAGAGATTCACGCTCGGCACATCATATTCCGCGCGCGAGCAGAGAGATTCACGCTCGCGCATAATATTAATGTACTTTCGCGCTACAATAATGCGCTCTCGACATTGGACAGGATAATAACGCCATATTCTGCCACTCAGTCCCGCTGAGGGGGGCGTGTTTCGGCGGGGAAGTGACGTTAATGCATTCCCTCTATTCCAGCACGTCCCAGCCGGGTTCGTCACTTATTTGGTTCCTCTGGAAACATTTCCGTTGTGCTCTGTGTTATTTGCAGCGCGTTTTCTGTATTTGTGTTGTGAGCTTTTGCAGCGCGTTTGTATTTGGTGGTGTTGTGAGTATTTGGAGCACACGTGTGTTGTGAAACTGATGAAGATGTTTTCTTAATTTGCGGGTGTTTTTTTTTTATTTGCACGCGTTTTTTTTTGTATTTGCATGCGTTTTATTTTATTTGCATGTGTTTTTTTGTATTTGCATGTGTTTTCTTCAGTTGCAGCGCGTTGAGCTCTCTCGGCCACCGTACTTATAGGGTTGGAACGGCATGAAGGAGAGTAAATAATGACAGAATTCTCAGTTTTGAAAGAATAGATTTGCATCACAGTAAAAATATCCGATCTACATGAACACAAAAACTAACACAAGCACTTTTTTTTCTTTTTTAAAGAATTTGTTTAACAAATTCCTAAGCTTTATTTTCCAGGCGAAGGCAACCAAAAATCACTGGTTTCCAAAGGAGAGCTCATATCTTTCTATTTCATCCTGTGCCAAAAGTACAGTATGCCCCACAAACACCAGAAATACACTTGGGACTCGACATTTCCCGGCATTTACACAAAGCCTTCCTCCAGAAGAGGACATTCCCGTTTAACATGTCAGTCACCCCTCTCCATCCGGGACGCTCACCACAAGCCAAGTTTCATTCATTATTAACATACTAGAATTTCTGGTCCTTGTTCCTCTTTTAAACACCTATTACGAGCGGGAACCCCCGAGGCAGAAGGAAGCTAAAATGGTTTCTTAAGTGACTTTCTTAATAGTTGAGCGAATTTGCATACGTGGAGAACAATGCAGAACAAGGCTAAACAGAGGAGAAAGGACAACGCAGTGATGGGAAACACTGATGGTAAAAGCGCTCACAGGCCGGCACACAGTAACACACTTGACCACACCGGACTGAAGTTTACCGGGACCCAGGGGAAGACCCTTGCCCTGTGTAGCGGACATTATATTTCAGTGAGTTTCTCCCACAGCATACATGTCACAGTTTTAAGTCCGGGTGTCTTGTAGAGAGCACATTCAGGGCTTTCCAGAGACACCAAATGTGTGGAGGTTTCACCATGAAAACTCCCTCTCCTTTTTCTTTAAATATGACTGATATTAATTTAGTGAAAAATGTAGCACTCTTATTTGATCATATTTTGTAATTATCATTTAAATCTGACTAATTTCCAATTCTTTTGTCATAATTCAACATCTCAGGAAGATGTCATGCTGTTTCTAATCAAAACATGACTTTCTGTTAGAGAACATCATCCATGTCCACCGTAGACACCAGGACGCACAGCATGTCTACAGGCATTGATAAAGCGATGTTATATATCAATATTCCTAAATCTTAGATTACATTAGGAAGATATTGCCAATTATTCCTCCCATTATTACACCTCTTTTTTCATGTTTCTCCAAGAATACATTGATATGCAAATTAGATACAGTGAATAGATACATTGCATTGAATGGCGCTATTGCATAAAGAAAAATGGTATGTAAATTCATTTCGTTATATCTTTCATAACATATAGTTGATCATCTTTATACAAAGTTTTGTTAAAAAAATCCTGAAACCTATGTATTGGCGAATGACAAACATCCCATTGTTTTGCCTATCGGCCTACATGTCATTTTATGTATTTTGCTTTAACAACTGAGTGCTGGTGTACTGAGACATGGCATAACATATATGCATAACATATTTAATCTTTTCCAAAAACTTTTTATATATTCACAAAACAGCTTTGCAATGCCTCTAATTTGGTTCAGTACAACTAACAATTATAGTTTTACACTCATTTTTTATTGATTTTTTTTTTTTTACCTAATACACATCTCTACATGAATAGATTACGTCATATATGGCTTTTAAAAAGCTTTAAATTAATAACTTTTTTTTACAACAAAAATTAACCATCACTGAACGTAAGCTGGACTATGACGCTATTAGACGTTGTTGCATTATTTCCCTGTTATCTCTGTAGAGCTGCTTTGAAACAATCTGTGTTGTAAAAAGCGCTATATAAATAAAGGTGACTTGACATGACTAAAAATATACAGTTTTATATTTCATGTCATCTGTAATTATTCATATTAAATAATCTTTTAAGCATGGTGTAATAACGTCTGTTAATGTAGCCTGTTGTTAAATGTTTGATACTGCATTATTTAAGATCGTTTCAATAAAGCTAATTAAAAGTTATTCGCGAATCGACTATTAAGATTTATGATTCAGTTTTTCCTCCAGTGGGAGTTAACAAAACGACGTCAGCATGTCCTGATTGAATATTCATGTCTGAATCATGCGGTCACAGGACTGTCCTCTCTCGCTGTCGGGAAGGAGCGTCTAGTGGGCGGGGCTTTACCCAAAACCGTGCGCGTCCGAGCCAACGCACCCGGAAAGCACGGATCACCCATAGGCTATACTATATAGCACAATTCATAATTTCACCGGAATACAGTCTATAAACAAAGTTGAACGGTCCAAAAAGATAAACGCGAAATTCACCCAGTGTGTTAAATGTTCTCTAAATGGACATCTTCATAGGCTACATGATGCTTGGCAGAACGCGCTTTCCAAACACACACACCGATCGCGGATTTATTACATTAAACACGAACACAATTAGGCTATTTATCGTATGATCATCATCAATGGAGAATTCAAAAACACAGACCAGCCTAAATAATAATCACACAGCAGATTTCACATCATAAGGTCGGTGTTATTCTTATAAAACAAAAACAGATGTTGCCTTACCTATACCAGGAGCTGAATAGATGAAGTACAGTGCAGAAGTGGACAGCGAGAAGAGAAATATAAGCCCGAGAAATGACCTTCTCCGAAGTCGTATATGTGTCGGCATTATATAGACAGATCTTCTTCTATATGTGGCCTATAGGCAGATATGATCCGTTAATAGACCCAGATGGAGAGTCCTAGCGCAAACACGCTGATTCAGGTGCGATCCCGAAAGGTATCCAATCTAGAAGGATCACTCGTGTTAGCAGAGTCTCATCATCTCCATGTGTAGAAATCAGTAGGGACAGCGCGCGCGGGAGCACACAAACACACACACTCGCTCACACCCGCGCGCTGCTAATGAATGGGAGCGCATGGGACTCGCGTTACGCACAGATATCAGGGCTGTGAAAGGGACCGTCAGCAAAGGAGGGAGTGTGTGAGCATGACTTTACGCGATTACGTAACGCTGCACTCATGGTCCGGTTTCCATCAAAGGCTGTAAAACACACAGGGAGTAGCCTACTACATGCGTATTGATCGCCAAGGGCTTATTCTTTTTTTTTTTAGCTTATACAGTATGAGCTAAAAACAATCACATTAGCAATGAATCCATATGTCTTAATGAACATCGACACCACGAATAGAATAAAACAAGCTTAAAAACAACACCAAATAAAATGGAATGGAATAAAACAGAACAATATGTTAATATAACAGTGACTGTATTGCACATTTTATATAGTTAGGCGGCTACTCCTACACACACACACACAAACGGAAAATGACAATCATTGTAGGTCGATCATAAATGTAAACACTATGGCATGAAACCTTTCATACAAGACTGATGCATCACAGAAATGCGCATTGTTGACACGCCCACCTTAAATGAACTATAACTCCCAGCAACCATCGCTGCATCAGCTCCGTTTTTTAAACTAGCCTACATTTTTTTTTTCTATACAACGATACGTCATTTATTTTGTGGATATAATGTATGTGGATATCAATACAGGATATATACGTTTTATGTCATTGTTTATGCTTAAAAAAAATACCCAGCGGTTAAAACTACAAATTAAAACTACATTTCCCGGAGCTTCCGGGTAAATAATAATGACGATATATTTACTCTGCGAAACATGGATTGTGGCGACATGAGTTTAATTTTGCGGTTTTTTCCTTACGTCTAATGATCATTTGTGTTTATAAGCACGATGCGTGTCAGTAACCGAGCTGCTGTAATCGGTGTGTTATTAATAATATTGACGGCTGATCTCGCGCGGCTTGTTGCGGCAGATGATCAGACACACGGTGAAGAACCTGTCGATAATAATACAGCTGACAGTGATCCACAGGATCAGAAAACTGCTGATGGACACGCAGAACAGCTGACCAGGTATTACTGTATCACATATCTTCACATATTATCAGTTTGCTCACAGTTTAACAGCAGGAAGTGTAAGTGCGTGATTGATTGACAGCTGTGATGTGGCGTACAGTGACGAATAATATTTAGTAACATATGTTAATCATCACTAAGTTCGAATATGTGCACACACACAAACACACACACACACACACACACACACACACACACACACACACACACACACACACACACACACACACACACACACACACACACACACACATATATCAAAGTAGCTTGGTATTAACACCTGATACCTTCCCCGTACAAGTATAGATCTACAGTTATTGGCTGTAAATGTCATGTTGTACAGATAAGTATTTTTTCTGTCTTTCTGTGTAGTTAGTTAGTTTTGTAGGAGCGTTTAGAAAATCCATCTGTCCACTTTCATTGACAATATAGATGTGAATGTCATACAACTTATATGAATAATATATTTTCATGAGGTAAATACGTTTCATCATTGAGATAAATCTTAGGAGATAGTAGGCATTTAATTAAAAAAGTGATTATAAAGTCAAATATGTAATAATATATTATGTACATATATTAATCTGACAGGTTAATGTGACCCTGGACCACAAAACCAGTCACATGGGTCAATTTTTTCACATTGAGATGTATACATCATCTGAAAGTTGAATAAATAAGCTTTCCATTGATGTGTGGTTTGTTAGGATATGGAAACTATTTCAACATCTGGAATCTGAGGGTGCAAAATAATCAAAATTGAGAAAAATCCCCTTTAAAGTTGTCCATTTATGTTTCGAGATTGTGCTTCATTCACTCACAAAAATAAAAGTTTGAAATATTTACGTTAGGAAATTTACTAAATATCTCCATGGAACATGATCTTTACTTAATATCCTAATGATTTTTGGCATAAAAGAAAAATCTATAATTTTGACCGAGACAATGTATTGTTGGCTATTGCCACAAATATACCCGTGCGACATGTGACTGGTTTTGTGATCCAGGGCCACAAATGACACAGAAAGCTCCAGCAATGACACTGTTCAGAGCACCACAGCTGTGCCCAAGCCCGCGACCCCTGAGCCGCCGAAAAACGAGCCTATCCTGCCGGAGCAGACGGGGGTCAAGGCCCAGGAAGAGGAGCAGTCCAGCGGGATGACCATTTTCTTCAGCCTGCTGGTCATTGGTGGGTAGCAGCAGTTGTTTTGAAGGCAGACATGATCTCAATGTGAGAATGATGCATATTTCTTTTCTTTTAATAACTAAACTGCTTCAGAACTGTATCCGAAGCTCTCCAGTTCTCCATCAGTGACGAGCAATAAGGAAATGCAGCTACAGCATTTCCTTATTGTTCGTCACTGATGGACAGTTAAAAGGTTAAAGTCCTCCTGTAGTCGATCATTTCATCCCTTAAAACTCATCTTTGATCACCAAAATAACATATTTAAAGTTTTTTCATTGAAAAGAAATATTGTCTTCATGTCTTAAAGTAGCTTGAATGTAACTCGACACCCTTGCCTCATTTAGTATACGCGGTTCTCTGAATATGCAGATGAGCCCCGCCTCCACTCACTCACTCAGCTCAGAGATCCACTGGTTGACGATCACACGTTGATCTGATTGGTTACAAGGTCGTTTGTGGCGTCAGAAACACCAGCGATTTCAAACCGTGTTTTTGAGACTGTCTTTGGTTCACTGCAGTTTTAAGGAGAAAACACTCAGCAATGCTGTCGACTTATGGTTTGTCTTAAAGCACATTAAAAACACCACATAAACAACATTAAAGCTGTATGTTCAGCACAGGGCACTTTAAGACAGTTCCTGTAATGGGAGATGGTCAACTCTCTGAGGTTTTCCTGAGTGGTTCCCAGTCCTGAAGAGAACATGTGCCGCTCTCGGCTCGCCGGATCATGAGTGCAGAGATCTGCAGCGCTGGACACATTTACCGGCAAATTGTAGTCGTTACTGATTACAAATTACATTATAAAAATAGTAACGTTATCTAGATTTACATATTTTAGGTGATGTACTCTGACTACTTTTTGAGTACTTTTAGATTACTCTTTTGACCTATCTCAGTTATCACATATATATAAATATTTTCCATTCTTTGTTATAAACAACATGAAACGCATATTATGCCAGGGTTTCCCAAACTGGGATTAATAAAAAAAACTGCAGGAGGATTGTGAGTTGATGAAAAGCTAATGATTGATTAAATCGTAAAAATGTACAATTGAAATGAAGAAATTATTTGAAAATAAAAACAATCAAAATATTATAAAATGATAAAATTAGAAATAATTGACTGCCATTGTATGAATATGTAATCATGTAATCCATAAAAAGTAACTAATCAGATTATTAGCATTTAAAAACATAATATATTATGTAATTACAAGTACTATTTATAGTATTTTTTTGGGTAGTGTGGCTGATGGGAATGTCAAAATGGTTCAAAATGAACTTTTTTTTCTACATCTTCACATCAATTTGACCAGCAATAAATATATCTTAACACCCACGAGACTGTATATTTGATCAAATTCATGTTCTAAGATAAATACTGTTCTTTTGAACTTTCTTTTCATTAAAAAAAAATCCTGAAGAAAACAAAATATAGAAATGTTTCTTGAGCATCAAATCATCATATTAGAGTGATATCTGAAGGATCATGTGACACCGAAGAAGAGTAATGATGCTGGAAATAAATTCAGCTTTAAATGATATATTTTAAAATGTATATTTACATAGAAAATAGCTATTTTAAATTGGAATAATATTTCACAATTTTACTGTTTTACTTTAGTTTTAATATAAATATAAATTGAAATATATATATATATTTTTATATATATCTTACTGGCCCCTGCCGAAGATAAATGTAGCTTTTTTTTCCTTCGTGTGACTTGAATCGCCACATTTGATGGCAAGTGTTAATGGACTCTGAATGCTGATTTATGCATAGCACCATATTTTATGGAGAATTTATAGAGAACTCTTTTTCTATGCATCTTTTGTCATTAATGTTCAGCTGTTCCTCCGCTTCCTCTAAGCATGAAGGTGTTGAGTCATCATTTCCTCCTCGGATGCTAAGGGTTACGCCCGCTTCTGTGCACCTGACACCGCCGGACCGATGATGTCACAGCGAGACTCCTCATGTGTGTTGTGTGTCATTTAAAAGCTCCGAGGTTTCAGGTTACGTGTTGATGTTTTGGGATAGGCCCTCTGCAGTGATGCGTCTCCCTGTGATGTCATGCGTTAATGTGTGTGTTCGGTGTAGTCTTACATACTGACCAGCTCTGCGTATGACGAGGACTCATGCCTTGAATTCGTCCATAACGTCTTCATAATGTGATCCTGGAGGCTTAATCTAGGTTAAAGTGTAGCTCTAAACCTGCGCGACACATCACTATGGGTAACAGTGACAGCTCTCTCACGGCTCATCTTCCCCTGTCTCTTTACACCTAGTCTGACTGACAGGTAAAGCAGCCAATCACAGTTCGGCTTGCTCCGCGTCGTGTTTAGCGGCGTGGAAATGTAGCGTCGACGTCCCCACACCAACAGTGTAAAACTCTTGGACGTATTTTAAAGAGTCTATGCCATGAACTTCACGTACTTTTGGACATCCAGCGTTTAGTTGATCCTGATAAGCGCTCATTGTCACAGTTGTGTTTTTCCATGAGGGGGTTTGGCTTCACGGCGTCTCCGTTTCCAGGCGAACCGTTATAATCCTGCAGAATTCAACCAATCACACGACGACTTTGAAAATCTGAAGTGTTTCCAGTTTTGTGTGCCATATCAAAGACGATAGAATAACAAATATCATATGATATTGCATATTAAATAGCGATGTACTTGTTGAGTGTATAATTTATTGCATATTTAAACAAAAAACAACAACATCCAATTACAAAAGAGAGACAAAAAAAAAAAACATGACCAAGGAACAAGCACATATACAAATTTTTTTATAATTATTGATAACATAAAATATATA